ACCGGGCGCCGCCCCGCCGGGGTAGGCAATTCTTTCCGGAAAAACCTTTTGTTGTGGAATGTGGTTTCTGAGGGTCTTGGGGGTTCTTGTGTTTTTTGGTTCCTTCTTGAAGGGGGGAATAGGGGTTGCGGTTTCACTTTTTTTTTCTTTTTTTTTCAAGCGTGTCTAGTGATAGGTCAAAAATGTTGCGACGGTGCCGGTTATTGAGGATGAAGTACGCTGATTTGGAGCTGACAACAAGGGGCGAGTTCCCTCATGGCATGAAAGAGCCGGCTTTTGTCAAAAAGTTAGACAAGAATATTCCATGGTACTTCTCCACATATAGGTCAATGTACCACTGGCCTATTACCGGAGACAATTGGAGCGACCTTAATGAGGCAGAGAAGCACCACGATCTTCACATGTTCTACACATTAGCATGGTGGAAACTAGGAGAAGGTATCTTTGATGCTGAAAATACCGATGGACAGTAAACCGAAATTCTGAGAAATATTCAAAAATGAGTAAACAAGGACCCTCTTTCTCCTGCTGCGATGCCGTTTTTTTCTTCCTTACTTTAAGAATGGCTTGGTGTCTTTCTTCATTTCTTTTTTGCCCCTTCTATAAGGTTGTAGTAGTACTAGTAGTAGTTGTCTTTTCCTTTAAAATGTTGCGAAAGTGCACGGCCCGCCTGTATCGTTATCAAGAATTTGAGATGTCCAAACCTGCCAAATACCCGTTCAACTACTCCAGAGAAGCCCCTAATACATCGGTGTTTCCGCAATACCAGATGAACTTTTGGATGTTTTGGGGTTGGGGAAGGCAAGAGCTGTGGATAGATCGGGATACTCGGAAATATGAAACCACGTGGGAAATGCTTCGCCGTCTACTTATGTGGTTTTTTCCGTGCTATTTTATTTTCCCATTCGGTATACCGAAATGGTTTGCAGCTAATTATTTTGGCGAGTACGGGGAAAAGCCCTTTCTAGATTACACAATGCATTACCCAATGGATAATCATTACATTGAGTGGGGTGGTAATGTGCTTGACGCAGAATGGCTACGTCATATACACTCAAAAGAGTCCTACTGACAGGGACAGGTGTATAACCCTAGCACGGAGAGTTTTCAAGGGCTTTGAGGGGATGGGGGGGTTAGGTATCTGGGATGGTGTGGTAGTAGGATCCTGAATGTGTTAGTTATCCAGTGCATTTCGGGCGAAGAGAGTGGAACACCTGTTGAAGAACAAATGAAAATATCCTTTTCTCTCTCTGTGGGTCACTTTGTTTGGGCTAGGGGACCTATTGTTTCTTTTTTTTTTTAATTTTCTTTCCCTTTTTTTTTACTTTCCTCTGGGCATAAGAAGATGAGGTCATTATCTTGGTTTACTACAGCTATAGCATGCCAGGCAAGATCACACGCAACCTATGGCACTGAAAAGTTGTCTCACCAACAGCTTCGTTCCGTTTTTTGGAATGGAGAGAAAACGGGTGACGAACTGGGCCTTTTGGAAAGGGTAGAAGATCGGATTTCCAAATGGAAACTCAATAAATGGGAAATGCGGATTCCGCCCCTTCTTCCTGCACATGAAAAAGAGGCAATGCGTCGCCAACAAGAGCTGTTAAAGAGTATTTTTTTTGATTGGGGTAAATGTCGTGATGCGTTAAACATGGATCTTGAGCTTGCTTCGTCTATAACAGGGGTCTCTAAAGAGACAGTTAGAGAAAAGAATCGAGTTTGGCTTCAAGAAGAGGTTGCAAAACTACGTTGGATGGGTGAGGCAAACAAAGCCACACAGCTGCGTGATGCATTTATGCGACTTGAGGTTTACGGATCGAGAGATCATATGCTCCTGGAGCGCCTCTGCTGTATATACGGTCTGGGATTGCAGGGGTCATTTGATGATGCCTTTTCAAATTATATTGTAGAAGATCCAATTACCAAGAGGGTTTTTGTTGATGAGCAAAATCCTTTTCGTGAATTGCTTGCCCATATAATCAAGATCTATCCTCAGATAGATGTAATCTATGATTTCTTGGGGTTTAACCTTGTTGAGGGTTATCGGTCGTCATTGCGTCGATATCTAGAAGGATTACATTCTCGATCAGGTCAAAAAGCAAAGTCAACAGGCCGATTAGCTTTTGTTAAAGGGGAAAGTATTAATGTTCTCTTTGATGTTTGCGATAGTAGAGAGTCCTTGATATCCGGTGAATGTGGGCAAGGTTTGCCAGACTTTCTTTACGCGAAAGGAACTGATATTACTCTTATTATTATTGCCTCAGAGAACTCTTGGTTACGTAACCGTCGGATACCTCACCGAAGGCAGATGGAGGGAATTGCAAGACGTGGTAGCTTCGTCATGGGCATTCCGTTTTCGGAGGTTCGTGTCCGAAACCTTCTTTTGCCACCAACTTACCTTGACAGGGATTCGATCGTTCGAATAAATGAGATGATTTTCGGTCTCTCAGTGGAAGAACAGAAAATGCTTGTCCCCTGGTTGGCGATGTACCACAAGGAGTTAGACTCCAAGGACGTTGATTTCTGTTCACTCATGAAGTCTACAAATGAAGAAGAATGGCTCACGCTGTAATACATATGAAAACAACGTTTGCTATATCGAATGAATTGTCTGATCTCGTGATATTTTTGGATGAGTGATGTCTTAATAGTGTATGTAATTTGTTGTTTTGAAGTACGTTTTTTTTTTTTTTTCTACATAGATACATAGTGGATTTTTTAATTTCTCTTTTTCATTACAGTGCGCTATGGCGGTAACACAGCACACCTGTGTGGTTAGGGTCCATTTGTTTCTCTTTCTGGAGGATACTGGGCAGTATCGAGAATATGGATCGGTCGGTTGTGCCATAATCGGCACCCTTTCAGATCTACCGCTGTACAAAATGGGCTGCTATAACGAAAAGAATGAGTACTTATGCACAGCTAGTATCACAACTAACAATGAAACTGGAGCTTGTGTAGCTTTGCAACAAGGAGGCTACGTCTCTTTCAAGGATGAGCAAGGGAAAAATTGGTCAATGCAATTTGAGACGGAGGATCATGCAATCGAATTTTGCGCCCATGTTTCGGTTGCAATGTACGGAGCATCGGGGCAGCCAGATCAGAGTATTATAGCTTGTGATTTCCGAACCGGGAAGCGTGAACGTGCCATATTCGCCAACGATGCGATTAAAGTACGCTACCAAGGCTGGGTGATTCAGTGTGACACTCAACGAAAAAAACTCCCTTTTCTCGGGAGCAAGTTAGACGGCAATCTGCATGATGACAAGCCTTACACAATGGATGTACCTGCTAATCATATGAGTGTTCTCCCTGATATGAAGGGCTTTGAAGGTATGGTGATAGCAATGGGCGAAGAAGGATCTAGGTTTGTGGTTATTCCTGTTAAGGCTAAACGTGGTGGTGGACCTCAAGTTCATATGTGCTACTATGTTCACATTGTCCGAAAAAAGGATCTTACACGTGCTGTTGCTAACCACAAGACTGCTGTAGTGGCTTTGTCCAACTCGACTCCTCAAACAGTGGAGCAGGCAAAAGTTGTGCCGTTTGCTGCAGAATACGATGCCATTCATAGGCTCAAATCACCTTTTCCTGGATTCAGTAGAGAACAATTACTGGTTATCGATCGCACTCGCGATCAAATCCAGGTGCTCTCTCAGCAACTGCAGGAGGCTCGCCGACAACTTGATACCTTCATGAATGACATCAATGCTTTTGAGAGAGGTGTAAAACCACAAAGTTTAGCGAGTGCGCAGATAGAATACTCAATTAAAAAGCTTTTGACTGATACTGAAGAGAGTAGGGAATTGCTTACACAGAAGGATATAACTTTGCGACAGATGGAGGAGAAAAACCGAGAACTTCATAAGAAGGTTGACAAGTTTAGTGCAACTGCTAATTTGCTTGCAGAAGAAAAAAAAATCAGTATTATTTCATCCAAGGAGGAGAAGTTGGACATGGATCGAAGAATAGCCCAAGCTCAAGCGCAGCTTGCGCGGTTGCAGTCCGAACGAGAGGATGTTGCCCGGCATCTTTCAACAGTGAAACGGCTTCTCCAGGTTGCTGATCAAGATATAAAAATCGAAAAGCAGAAGTTGCAGGTGGCTTCCGTTTCATTTCAAACAAATGAATCAAAACTGGCGGCATCCGAAGAAAGCCACGCTGAAGAAATGGCTCGCCGAAAAATTCTTGAATCGAAGGTTTCCACTCTGGGCGATCAGTTACGTTGCGTGCTAGAAGAGGTTCGCGTAAAAGAAAGTCAGATTGAGGAAAGAAGACAAAAAATTGGGACTGACAAACTGCACTATACACAACTTATTGAAGATGAACGAAGTAAAGCNGCTTCGGATATTCGTGAGTTGAGGCAGGAATTAATAGATGAATTGGCCATACGCGATCGACGCTATCAAGAGGAACGTCAAAAAGTTGCTCATGAATCTCTTGAGAGAGGTCGTCTTCAAGGGATAGAGGATGGTCAAGCTGAGGCATTGCTAGAGGCTGATGCTGCCACACATGAATTAACGCTTACCGTTCAGCGTCGCAATGCGGAGGTGAATGCCGTGCGTATTCGCTTAAGGGGAGCAATAGAACAAAATGAAGCTGATGAGCGTCGGTTGGTTTCTCAAATAAAGGCACTTGAGGAATCACTCTGTAATATTGTAGTGGAAAACTCACAAATGGAAACCGAGCTAAACTCATTGAAAAGTGCAAGGAAGGCAGTGGAAGATGATGCCTTTCAAGAAATTATGAGTGCTATCGAACAACTCTCCCGGCCTGTGGGACAGAAGGATCTTCTTGCCGTAATACACTCTTTGCGAGTCAAGAGAGAGGTAAACTATGGGTTCGAGGAGCAACGCGCAAAGGAGCAGCAAAATATACTGGCTGCCGAACGTGAGGAGGTACGTCGATGGGTCACTGGAACTCTTGACGGTGAATTTGTTCCATTTCCCCCAATGCGAACGTTGCACACGCCTGAAGCCCCTATGCCATATTTACCTGAAGTCACACTGTGGGGTGAGACAGAGATATCCGCTGAAATGGTTGAGTCGAGGCTTTCAGACGAAGTAAAGGCCCAGGAAGAAGCAATTCAGTTCGATCCGGATGAAATGAATCGCCGCTACAACGAACTGTTGTTGGAATTTATGAATGTAAAGCCTGATCTCGGGTTGGTGTCTAACAAGGATTTTTCTGGGGAACAGGGTGACATTAACCCGAGGAACGGTTTACCGCTTGCTCGAGAAGACCTTGTGAGTGATTCCAAAAAGCCACCATCTCTAACCATACCAGAAAGTGTCTCACCACAGCCACAGCCACAACATTTCCAGGAGGGGCTTCTAGCACAACACCGACAACAGGGTTTCGCACCACAGCAGAAAAGAGAGGTGCCGTACCCGTTTCAAAGGACTGCACCGCAGGAGGCAGAGGAAAGTCGATTTGGCTCTCTTGAGTGTCCTGATTCTGTTTCCGGGAAAGGTGGTAAAGAGTCACAGTTTATTGCCCAATTTGTGGAGCCTGAAAAAATCAAGGTGGGAACTCAGGGGGATCGGGGCGTGGCGTCATCTGGTGGACCCAAACCGGAAGGTAACGCCAAAAATAGTAAAAGTCAGATTGCGCCGCCGCCAAATCGAGGCGTGCCGCCCCGAACCAAAAAGGTGACATTCAGTGACTCAGATTCTGACAGCAATCCGCCGCTGGCGGTGGCAGCGAAAGTACGCCTAGTGCAGAGGACACTTACGGCAGCTCCAGCCAAAAAGTCCTTGTTTGATGACAGTGATTCTTCTGATGGTCCGTTGAGGTGACCTTGAGCCCCAACGACACAATTGAGTTTGAAGCCATCCATGTACAGTACACAGCGGGTACTTGATGACTTGGATTCTTCGTAGTTGAGAGTCCCCGATGGTTTTCGTGTGCTGTTTTATCGTCATTTTGTTGCATAGTCCTCACCAATGAAGTTAAGCACCTTTCCCAATGCCTGTTATGTTTCTCCTTTGGATTTTTTCCCCTCCACCCTACTTGTTATTCTTTTTATTTCAAGTATTGAGAGAGTCATGACCACGAAGCGCCGCAACCATGGCCGCGCCAAGCCCCCATGCTCTCGGGGCCGCACGAGGCCGCTGCACTGCTTCAACTGCGGGCGTCTGACCCCCAAGGATAAGGCCATTGGCCGCTTTGTGGTGCGCAGACTGCTGGATCAGGCCTCTGCGCGTGACGTTGCCGAAGCGTCTCCAGTGTACGGCGCGGGCTTCCCTATGCCGAAGCTCTACATGAAGCAGCGTTTCTGCATTGCGTGTGCAATTCACAAGCGTGTTGTGCGTGCTCGCCCTGTGGAAAACCGTAAGCGCCGCTACACTTCCAAGGTGGCGTTTCGCCCGCCCGCAAGCAAGTAGTGTCTGACACACTCAAAATACAATGTAGTTTTGTTTATATTTTATTTTAAAAGTTTCTAGGTTGAAAAATATGAATAAAGCTCAATTTTTCTTATTTATCCGGCTTAGCATTCTAAATGTTCTTCTCTTTTTTTGCTTTTCTTTTCGTTTCCTCGTTAGTTCCTCATTTTATTATAAGATACCAAAAAGAAACTAGTAATGCTTCGCAAAACACTTCCCGTAATTTGTGGTGCCGCTAAAGGACCATGGAGTGGGCTGAGCAACTCTGAAATTGCAGAAGCTGTGAATTCCCGCAAGATTCAGTTTTACGGCCTAGAGCAAGCCCTGGATCCCGACTACAAACGTGCGATTGCTGTGCGCCGCGAGGTCGTCTCGAAATATGTTGTCCCAACGTCTCCCACCGACGAAGAGAAGCAAGGATTGAGCTCCATTCCCTTTGAAGATTATGATTGGGACCGTGTTGTGGGCCAGAACTGTGAGAACATCATAGGGTACGTGCCTGTTCCACTTGGAATTGCCGGCCCGATTCTCATTGACGGACAAAAGTATCCCATTCCCATGGCAACGACAGAGGGTGCACTTGTGGCCAGCACCCATCGCGGCGCTCGAGTCATTTCGCAATGTGGTGGTTGCAAGACGCTCCTTTTGGATGAGGGCATGTCAAGGGCTCCTGTGGTAGAGCTGACCTCCTTGGAAGAAGCAGGAAAGCTTCGCACGTTTTGCCAGGAAAACTTTGCGGCAGTAAAAGAGGCGTTTGAGTCTACAACACGGTATGGTAAGTTGAACTCCCTTAAGTGCGTATTGACAGGTCGGAAAGCTTACCTGCGGTTTCGTGCAACAACTGGTGATGCAATGGGAATGAACATGATCACCAAGGGTGTGGACAAGGCGTTGTCGCTGTTACAGCAGCATTTCCCCACAATGAAGGTAATTGCTTTATCAGGCAACTATTGTACTGATAAAAAGCCTTCAGCAGTTAATTGGATCGAGGGACGTGGGAAGGCAGTGGTGGCTGAGGCTAAGGTGCATGGTCATGTGGTTGAGAAGGTTCTAAAGTGTTCAGTTGACAGTCTTGTCTCACTTAACATTGACAAGAATCTTGTGGGCTCTGCTATGGCAGGGTCTGTTGGTGGATTCAATGCACAAGCTGCTAATGCTGTCGCGGCAATATTTATTGCAACGGGACAGGACCCGGCTCAAGTGGTTGAGTCATCAACTTGCATTACAACCATGTCAAAGGATGGTGATGATCTTATTATTTCAGTGACGATGCCGAGCATAGAGGTTGGAACGGTGGGAGGTGGAACCGGTCTGGCTGCCCAGCGAGGCTGCCTGGAACTGATTGGATGTGGTGGTTCCAACAAGGAGTCTCCAGGTGCAAATGCGCAGCTGCTCTCTCGTCTTGTCGCTGCTGGTGTGCTTTGCGCGGAGCTCTCACTGATGTCTGGGTTGGCTGCAGGACATCTTTTAAGCGCGCACATGCGCCTGAATCGCAAGCAGAATTAAAATGTGTCGGTATTCTGCAGGGAATAAAGAGTCGATCAACAAGGGGGAAAAACAATGCCATCTTCGTTATAGTCAGCCTCACATGTGGCACGTATGGTGCCAGGATGAGACGATCCACACCAGTTGGGTATCGCCCAAGTGTCTCTCATGTGGGTCCCACATCTAAGGTGCGCTTTTTTGTTACATTCCTTCGTCTCCCTGAGAGCTTGTGGAGGGAATTTGTGTCCGAATGTTTTCTGATTAAATTTATGGGGCAAAGGATTTTTGTTTATTGTTGTTCTGTCTAATCAGAAGCTTTCAACTAGGGTCCAAGGGGAAAAGTTTTACCTTGACCATTCCACCCGCCTCCCAATTCCCGCCACGCGGCGTGGTCTCTGGAGGTGTGGAACTATAACGTTGCCCTTTCATAAGCGGGTTGCTGATTTGATAGAGAAACGATTCTGAATGGAGGAATAACGAACTGGGTGGATTTGGCAGTGCAGGGAAGAAGGAACATCTTGTGTGAAGTGGTCTGATTCTGTTCTTTGCTGTCCCTCATCGAACTCAGAACAATAGAAGTTGTATAGATAACGGCATCAAAGAAATATTTCGTGTTCTAGTCCTAACGCTATGCCGTGGCTTAGGTGCTTTCGTTAAATGGGTGGACACGAGCTGAGCCAACAATGAACGGCACTCGGCTCTCTGTAGCCCGCTGGCTGAGAGAATATCCAATATGTTACGGCCGGTGGAAGTTAGTTATGCGGTTCCGTATTTGGTTTCAATAATTTGGCAACATAATTTTGCATAAAGTGGTGAGCGATGCTTTTTGTGGAACCGAAAAGGCATGTCTCCGAAGAGCTGTGAAGCTGTTTGGTACCAGAAACATCAGGGTGGCAAGGCGCATGGGTCTTTTTAAAAAATGGGCGCTCCAGGTAATACACTCTTAGGCAACAGAGATGGAGATAGCTTGACGCACATATATATATATATATATTTATATATCCACGAACACAGGTGCATATTCTCTGAATCATGAAGTGTCCTGCGCAGTGTTATGATTCTGATTTTGGAACATGAGACCCTCTTTCTTAGTAAATACTTTCACTTTCTTATTGTGCGCTGAAGCCATTTGTCAAGCGGCTTGCATACAGCCTTGTTGGTGCTGCGTGGCCAGTCGAGAAGAATCACCAACGCCACTGGACAATGTCATTGCTTCCAAGCCGTGGGCACTTGCCTGTAATGCGAATATGGGAGGGGTGTAATTTCTGTTTTGTATGGCTGGATGTGTGCGTTTCTTCTTTCATTGGAGTATTGGCGGAGGCTGTGTCGCCAGCTCGGATAGTTTTTTTTTTTTCGATTCATTTCTTCTACAGCTCATCCCGCTTCCCAGGCGAACTGTTTGCATCCCCGCAGCGGACAGAGGGGCTATGTGGGCTTCCCTTTCCAACTGGCAATGTGCGGTGTATTTTGCGGCATATACGGCGCAGAATACTCTTCTGTTTTCATTGCTATATATATATATATATATATATATAT